GCCGCGCCGGGGGCTGCGCGCCGAGCCGCGCCATGGGCAGCGCTCTCCGCAAGAGCAAAGCGGTGCGGCAGGCGCCCGGCGGCGGCCCGGAGCGGCGGGGAGCAGGTAGGCACCGGGGCGGGAGGCTTTGGTTTGCCGCTGAAACAGCCGGGAGGTGGGAGCGGGACGCGGCCGGCCCCCCCCCGCCCTGCTGCCGGCCGGGCGTCTTCGGGTGCGGGAGTACCGCGCCGTGGAACAACTTTAACGTGCCTTCAGCTGGCGTGAGCGTAGGGCTGGCTGCTTTGTAGCGCTTTGGAGTCAGAACTCCGGTCTCTGATCCTCCTCGGATATAGTATTAACCATGCTCTCGCTGTGTCTGTAAAACCCGGTGGAAGAAAAAAAAAGGAGAAATAATGAGCTCGAAGTAACGAATGCCTGAAAACTAACCTAGGCTTACATGTGGCGCTGTACAGCAGTTCTGTGTAAGTGAAACAGCACTCTTAGGATGTAGTGTTTCATTGAGCATCTGCTGTTGAAGGAGTGTTTTCAGGCCTGCCTAATTCTTCAGAAAGGGGTCTGGTTTTAAAGGTGTTTCTATATATGCAGTAATTTGAGAACACTGAAGCTAAAGCACCTTGGTAGCTTTAAGGTATTGCATAATATTTTAAGTCTCATTATGCAGAATGGAAATTGTCAGAGACTTGGCAAACAAAGAAGAAAGATGCCTGTGCAGTATGAATTTGCGTAAGGCGGGAGCACAGCAGGAGTTGGCAAATACAAAGATGAGGTTTATAACATGAGTTAAGACTCATGAAATAGGCTTATCATTATGGCCCTATATTGCTTAGTATCTTTCAATTATACCAACATAAAATCTTCCAGTCCAAGTAAAAACTTGGTATTGGAAGCACTGGATGTTCCTTGACCCTAACAGGAAGGACTGGAAAAAAAGAAAACTCAAACCACTGTCAAGAGAGTCCAGTTGTCCTTGTATTTTCAGGGCACCCTGAGGCCAGTTAGGGTTAACCCACAGCAGTTCCCTTACCTAATGCTGCCACCACCATGTTTTGATTTAGAAATATGCGGTTTAGCTTTAAATCAGGTACTGAAAGCTAGGCAGATATGATAGCACAGAGTCTGGGGCAGACTAAACTGCTATGGAGTTATACCCAAACCCAGTTCCTCTGGACGACAATGTATCTGCTGACACAAACTCAGAAGTTAAGCCTGCATTGAGCTTTTTCAGCCTTATGGAGCTGACTCATTTAGGGTAAATGACTTAAAAGAACATATTGTTTGGGCTTTGGTTTATATGCTCTGCTGTATCTTTGGTTTTTCAATTTAAGACATTACTACTCCCTGCTGCCCGTTCTACAACTCTGGCAGCATCTTAAAGTAATTCTTCAGGCAAGTTGGTTTAAACTGTGACGTCAAGGTTTATATTTCAGCAGCTATGCAGCTTTGCTTCTGGGATGGCCACGTACCAGTGGATAATTATCTGAAACCCAACATCCATTTCCTGAAGGAACAAGTCAAAGTTTTTAATATCAAGGACAAGAGATGAAGGGAGTTGCAAGTGCTGTTGAAGAGGTTAAATAGAAGGTTAAAACCAAATAGTTAAAAAAAATGCAAATAGAGATATGTAATTTACTTCAAAACTAAGACATAATTCAAATAAGCTAGTTACTCATTGTTGAACTGACTCTTAAAACATGAACAATCTTAAATTAACCCCTTTCCATAGTTAGTCATACCAGGCAGTAGTTTGTTTTTTTTTTTATATCTACATACATTTTTTGGACAAGGCGAATTTAACCTTATGTATGTAGTAAGAGGAAGAAATTGGGCTGTTCTTAGCTGTAAGAGTGTCTTAATTACTGTCTGGATCTGTTCCCACCCTTCCATCTTTTTGTCAATGGGAGTAATAAATTCAGAGTTATTAATTCACTGTAAGATCTAAGGATGTTTAAAAAAAGCAAACAGTAGCAAGCTGGCAATGAGCAAAACTGGCAAGGAGAATGGTGGCTAGCACAGGAAAAAGCAAAAATGTTAAGATAAAGTGCTTATATATATATATTTTGCATAACATAGCTATTAAATACATTCTCTTGTCCTTAGCTTGTGCTTTCAAAAAGGTTATCCTACAATCTTCAAATAGCATTCAGTTTACTTCAACATTGCATTTTGCGTATATAGTATTTATGAAATTTTGCAGGTATAAAGGTATGAAAATTGGAAATAACTCAGAAGATAATGCTTTTCCTGATTTTTTTTTTCTTTTTGTTAATTTCTCTGTACTACTTTTCTGTATTATAAGCAGGCATTTTACTGCAGAAAGGATTAATGAGAAAAAGCAAAGCTATACAATAAGGGGTAAACTTTCACATCTCAGAATTAAGACAGCCTGGGTTGCAGCTTTTCCTTTATAAAACATATTGTTTGTTTCTGTGGGACTCTACCTTGGTATCACCTCAAGTTCTGCTTTTTTTCCCCCAGATCCTCATGCTAGTTGAATTTTATGAGTGGCTGTGTTTTCAGTTCAGTTTGACTTTTCATGTAAGTTGAAGTTGCTCGGCTCCTTTCAGGACTGGGCACTCAGGACACAGCACACGCTCACTGGTGGGCCTGGAAAGGTATAGTAGATTTGGAGTGAAATTTGGGTTGGATTCTACAAAGTGAATTAAAGTATTTTTAGAATCATTGCTCCTCATTTTTAGTGCTAATATGAGAGCCTATGAATACAGCATAACTGTGAGATTGAATAACAGGGGCTCCACTTTGGTGGTCCTAGTTCTGTGCTGGAGTAGAAACACCGATGATTAAGCTGCGTTGACATTTGTGTGTGGTTAGTGTGTGAGTAATGAGGTCCCAAATATTTTTATTTTTGCAGTATTTCCTGCAAATGTTTTGACCATATAATTTACATGTGAACTGCTCAGGTGTTACAATAACAGATGTGTCACAGCAGTCTTTGTGGAGAGGAGTAGAGTGGACTTGACTCCTGGAGGTGGTGTCGTGGTTGCCCATGTTCTTCCTCCACCCTTGTTAACAGTTATGCCATCCTCTTGATTTCTGCTGTGAAAGGGAACAGTGCTTGGCCCTCACAGTGTATGGTACTGGTCCCCTTTTTTTCCATCCATTGTTATGGTTTCTCTATTTTCAAGACTTCCTTGGAGATAAAACTTCACTGCTTGTTCCTGTCTGAATGTTGTTCCTCCATTAAGCCCATCTTGGACATCCTTTGGTAGGGTGTCTTCCTATTATTTTGATTGTGCTTGTAGAAAACAAACCAAATAACAGATAAAATTGTGCACTGTGGCTTATTCAGTATGCTGAATTGGTAACTTGCTCTCCTTTTTCCACTGATTTAAAGTGAGAACACTTTACCACTGCTGCCTCCTGAGAAAGTTTTCTCTTTGATGCTTCCTCTGTTTTTGATACCTGCCTGTTGTAATGCAGCTACCTTCCAGTCTGCAGCATCTTGACTCATGTATTTCCTGTGAAATTCTTTTCCAGTGCTCGTTCATGTTTTCCTCATTCATACTTTTCAGTAACTTCCTGTTTTGAATGCGGTGTCACATTGTAGGTCTTCCTCCCAGAGCCGTCCTCTAACTTGCCAAGCTATATCTGATGCCATCTCTTTTTTTCCTCATCTTCAGTTTGGGTTTACCTTCTACTTTTCTTCCAAAAAGCTCACAGCTGTTGCTTTCCTTAGCATATTGCCTTTCCTATATGTACTGTTTGTGCCTTGTACAGCTGATTATGTGGTTGGACTCATTTATGGTAAACCCTGTGGAACTGTGAGACCTCCTGTAATTTTTGGCTGTTACAACATTCTCTGACCCAGCACTGGTATTTGCATAAAAGAGATACAAATGCAAAGGGAGGAGGTAAGTAAAGCATGCAAATACTTCTATTTCCATAGAAAATAATAGTAGCTTAGTCTAGTGTAGCCTTAGCTTTTCTTAAGAATCTGCTAATGAACTCGTTTTACATATTGAACCAAGATGTCATCTCATTTCATCTTCTAGCAAACTTGCCTGTTTCACTTGTTGAGTCAGCTGCTTGGAGAAGAAAGTGTTGTTTGGCACGGTCACCTTGCCTGTGTCCTGGCGTGGCATCCCCAGTATGGTGGGAAGGAAGCTCTTGACTTCCTTAACTCCTCCACTGTTTGCACAGCCTGACACAAAGCAAGCACATCGCTGTAATTCTAGCTCACAAGAGCGTAACTTACTGTTTTCCACCCATCTTTCACAACTATTTCCAGCTAGACCTTTGTCAGAAGCTGCGTGCATGAGATTGGTTTGTTGTATCGCTTAGGTAGCAAGATGGTTTGGAGGGCAATGACCTGTGTAGGTTATCTTTCTTCGCTCATCTCGTAAAAATGCTATGTCATTGTTTGCTGGGCTGCTACAAGCAGGATTAAATAATTCCACCCAAGTCCTTTTGTTTTTCAAAGACAAGAAATTTTGATCACTCTGGGCTAAAATAAGTGTTGTGTCGTCCTGTCCCCCCGCCCCTTAAAAAAGCCCTGCTTGGGGGTGGTGGGAAAATCACAGGCTTCTGAGCCAAGTACCCAAGTACTTTTTTCAGTGCAGTGCCTGCCTTAAACTGCCCATTCTGGGAGATTGCCTGCAAAAAGCTGATTTTCCTTTAACCATGTTCACTTTTAATATTGGCCTGTTTGACAGAAAAACTGATTGTTTTTGAGCTGTTTTGCACCATTTTTTTGTGTTCTCTGTGAC